TCACAAAAAAAGACAATTTAATAATTTTATATTTTCTTATAAGGATATAGACTTATAAACATTTTCATATAAAACTTAATATTAAAGTTAAAGAATAAGTTAATATAATAATATTTTTTTTGAAATTTATCAACATTATTAACCTTTTTAATAAATTATTAAAGTTAAATATAAAAATTTGCATATTGTTAAGGTAAAAATAAACTATATAAATAAATGGACACAAACAAGAAAAATATATAAAGAAATATGTGCTCCCTGCAATAATGGACCAGTAGGTTGTAAGTGGGTTTAAACTAGTGATAGGATTTCCCCCTTGCGAAAGTCCTGCCTGACATGTGAATACATTCCCGAGATGTTTAAATGAACGCATAGTTGGGTAATAGTGGTTAGCGTAGCTAGTCTTATAGTAATATATATGCACTAGGCAGTATTAATCTGCAGATTAATTGTAGAAATATAAAAGGGTATCCTGTACCAACCGATTTCCAGTTAATTTGTAGAGACACTTGGTATCTGTCTGGATATATAAACGTATCAATAAAGATCATGTACCATGCACACGTTCCATTATAAAATATATATATATATATATATAAAGAAATATGATAGACCTATCAAGGTATCTAGTATTTTTAGTATATTCAGGTATTTTGAGTTATCTATCTGATAACAAGTAGTATAAAGTAATTATCAAGTATAAAGTAAATTTTTTTTTTAATTCAACTAGCTGGGTCTTGTCTAGCATACTTTATTATTTTATTTACATATATAATTCATGTATTACAGGAACTACTATCTATAAATAACTCTATGTATTGTTAGACTATATCGGACCTACCCCATATCGGCTTGTTGCTGTCAGCATCACCCCAGAGGGATTGTGCTGAGGCTAACGTGCCAAAGCTCCGTTAGTGTTGTTATTATATCATTATGTTCTATTTGGCACTGTATAAATTTAAAGGGGAAGTTTGAATGTGGGGAACTGGAGGTAGTACCTATTTTTGGTGAATAGAACCACTGCATAGAGAATTCTTCTAGACCTGACCACCTGCAGATGGGCGTACTATTTAATTTCCACCTTTCTAGAGCTACCCAAGAATGTTCAAGAAACTTATCTCACAGACTTATGGCCTATAGATTGTTTCAGCTATTAATACTTACTGCTGTTTTTATTGCCTTCTCGGAATAAGTAACTGTTGGAGCAATCTATTACTGGATTGGAATAAGGCCTTTCTGGAAACTTGCAAGAAGAGACATCAGGTACTACAAGAAAACGATTACTAAGCTATCTTTACCGAAAGCGAACACCTTATACATTTTACAACTTCTGATGATTATTGTAACACCAACCGGATGATCATTGTGCCATGACACCATTTCTGGAAATCACAATCTCAACGCCCGTTGGATCAGCATGTGATACGGCTTCTCATGAAAAATAGTGCTTATACAGGTTATGGCACCAGATACCATATTAATTCTATTCAACTGTTCTCACATGAGGTTAAACTAGTATCTTGTGATTTGACCTGTAGAGTGTTAATCACTACACTATAAATCCACAGGTCTATAAAAAGGGAGGAAGTTATAGTCCAACCTGGTCATGTACCAGTAGTCAGGCAACTAATGCTTACCGATATCACATTCAGCCCCTAGTATTAAGATCGCTCGAGGCAGATCATCTTGCGATAATCCTGTACAGGATCCCGGACCTCCAGTGAGATTTGTAGCACTATAACACTTTGATGAACGGTTCATGGTAGTAAGGCAACTTACGCTTACCATGATCACCCCTGGAATAGGTCCACAGGAATTTTTCCGTCATTAGGAATTAAACCTGTAATCTTAATACAGATATACTAGGCATTTACCAGTGTGCTATAGTTCCACTGGAACTAGTATAAAGTAAATAACAAGTATAAAGTTATTTAAATTATAAGACATAAAAAATATAAAAGTAAGATAACTATATAGAAAAAAGGAGACATATCCAAAAAGACTATCCACCTGGAGAAGGTCACTAATTAAGAAGTAATCATGCAGGAGGTTACTATTTGTGATGCAAGATCGATAGATCGACCTGCATCATTGTCAAACTTGAACCAAATATACCCATCTCTTTTGATAAGGAATCATTTTCTATCATAGTACAGCATAGAAAAAACAGAAGTGACAGACTTGCTATGTTTTATTGTAATAATATAAAGGAAACTCTCTTACTGGAAAATAAAATAATTACTATTAAACAATTATTAAGAGTTTTTTTTTATTACTAGTTTAAAGTATAATTAAGAACTACTTATATATATATGTAATAATTTTTTTCTATTTGTCTATTTTTTTTTTTAGTTTCTAATCAGATTGCAAACAGAAGCATTTATTAATTCAACTTTTTTGAGAACAGTAATACAATACATATAATATTATACTAAAGTTAAACTAATACAATTTTGTAGAACATTTGTCAATGAGTTTAAATTTGTATATGATTCTTGAATCTTTAATACCAATACCACCATGTTGTTCACATGATTTAACTATTTACTAACTATCTCACTATAAGAAAGTAGGTTCATTAAGTTATTACTATATGATATTAATTATCTTAGACTTTCTAAATTTTAACTCTCTAGATGTGATCATAGAAAATAATAGAAATTGCTCCTACTTAAGACTAGGAATCAAAGATTATACCTTGAAAGATCTTAGCCAGCCTATATTCAGACTGTTACTCCAACATGAACCTGTAATTTTAAGAGGTAAAAAATTTTATTTTTTTTAAAAAAAGAGGGAAATAAAAAAGAACAATTGAAAAGTTTGTTCTAGTAAATAAAAATCCTTCAATATCAACTTCAGTTTATCAGAATAAATTCTTTATCATCACCTGCAACTAAGCAAACTATTTAATTTCACTATTCTATTGCTAATCAAGAACATTCAAGATACTTATAATAAGTTTTATACTTATAAAAAATTATTGTTTAAAACAAAACTTATACCTTAGAAAATTATTGCTTGATATTTTCTCGAAATAATCAACAATAGAAAAAGCTTGTTACTGAATTGAGATAAGACTTTTTTTAATTTTGAAGAAAAAAGAAACCAGTTCAAGAGAGGAGGGGGAGCACTATAACACATCTTAACAAAGTAGACATCTCATTATCTTGCTCTTTTCACTGTATTCAATAGCATCATCAGATTTATTGTTATAAAAGATAAGGCATGTGAGAGTTATGTGTCTTGTTTATATTTCTTACTACTGTTAGTAGGAAACTGATGTGGAGTGTGACTGCATGGACACATTCCAGTACGTCACATATTTTAATTTGCAATAATCAATAACTTATAATCTATAGAAACATATAAAGTCATAATGTAATTTTAGAAAGCTTAAATTAGCCATAACCTTAAATAGTTTATTAATTACAAATAGTCTATCAGAACTTAAGGAAAATCACATGGATAATTATAACTTAACAAAGATACATGAGATAAGATAAAAAGAGAGGAGATAATTAGGGAAAAAGAATAGTAGTATGAATAATAAGAGAAATTGTTCTCTAAATTAAAACCTTCTTAATTAAGATATGTAATTATCATTGCCTAACCAAATAAATTCTAATTAACTTACTTAATCTAGTATTTGTCACAAAATTAGATAACTAGGGCTATACATGTTTTCTTGTTACTATAAAAGGAAATTTAATCGACAATATAATTCCAAATTAAATATGATTTCCAATTATTTACTAATTGTTACTTAGTAATATGGATATAATACGATTTTTGAAAAATGTTTGAATTAAATACGAACACATGTATAACTGGGACTATACATGTGATATAAATTATTTGTTGTTGACTTAATTCTTAAAATCTTCAAAAATAACTATATAATAACCCAATTATTTATATTTTTTAATAGTAACTCAAATAATTGTGTCAATTGTATCAAGGATCTATAAATTTTAGCAACATGTATAATTGGAACTACAAAGAAAAAAGTGGTAAAGACTCATTATGAGAAGCGAACGATGGAAAGATGAGGAAAGTATTAGTAGAACTTGGCTAAACAATTTACATGCCTCAAATAGAGAAGCCAAATCCTTACCTGACATTGTGCAAGAAGTGCTCAGGAGAAGTGACAGACTTGTTGAGAAAGACATCAACACTATATACAGATCAACCAATTCAAATTTCTAACCAATTATCATTCAGGAGATCCAGTGTAACCAAAAATTTAGGGTCAAACTGAGATAGACAGAAGAATAAAAAAAAAGTACATATACTTGAAAAGATAGAAGAGAGACTTGAAAAAGATAAGAGAAAAGTTTCAAAAGTCTATGCCAATCTTTTCTGAAATCTTGAATTTTTGGAGAAAAAGAGGAAAGTGTTTTTTCTATAGATTCTTTTTCTTAACAAAGTGTTTTTGCCTTTGATTTATAGATAGGTTTTTCTTGTATTTACTTACTGAAATACAAGAAGTTTATATTAAAGAGAGAAAAAAACAAAAAAAGAGAGACCAAAGTCTCTAGATATTAATGTTATTAAAGAAGTATGCAGATTTTATTACAAAGAAATATAAAACTTCTTTAGAACATCTGTTTTTTGTATTTGCAAGAGGATTAGCAAAAAGATTTCTTTTTCTATCTGTTTATTTATTATTTAAGTTTATAATATATAATTAATATAATATTTAATATATATAATTTATACTTCAAACTTTTAATAGTTCTTGTTTTCTAGTTTAATATATTAAAAGTATTTATATAATTAATAATGTAAAGTTATAAATATAGATATTTTCTTTTTTTCCTATTCTATAAATAATTCAATGATATATAAGTTATTAGTGAAAACAAAAAATTTAAATGTAAGAAAGAAAAAGAACAAGTAAAAATTTGATATCATTTTGATGCATATTCGATCTTTAGAAGTTTAAATAAAAGATTTATACTATATACTGTACATATATTTATATCAAATACGTACAGTATATGGTGATTTATGAATCGTATGATTTTCATTTTAAATTTGTGATACGAATAACTTAAGGGTACAACCAACTCAAAGATCTGAGAAACATAAAAATTATTTGAGTTTTTCAATTTATCGAATGACTTGAATTTTACAATTCCACGTCACACTTTAAGTAAATGTATCCTCAGTCAAGTGACTTGAGTTTTGTGATCGACCCATCACTTGAATGACTTGTGACTTGAATTTTGCGATCTACCCATCACTCGAATGACTTGAATTTTGCGATCTACAAGTCACTCGAATGACTTAGCTAGGTGATTATGTTATTTCCACTGCGCCAGTTCGGCAACCAACACGGCGACCAGTGTAGCGACAAATACGGAGACCAATACAGCAACTAGTACGACGACCAGTGCAGCGCCTAATACTGCTACCAATACGGCAACCAATATTGCGACAAGTACGGAGACCAATAATGCAATCAATACTGCGACCGAAGAGACCACTACTGAAGAGACTACCACCGAAGAAACTTCCACTATCACCAAAGAAATCACTACCATCGAAGAGACTGCCACCAAAGAGGCTACCACGGAAGAGACTACTACCGAAGAAATTGCCACCACCGGAGAGACTACCACCGAAGTAACTACTTTGGTGGTATAGTTCCTCCGGTGATGGTTTCTTTGGCAGTAGTCTCTTCGATAGTAGTCCCTTTGATGGTGTCTCTTCGGTGGTAGAAAAGACTACCATTAAAGAAACTACCACCACGAAGAGACGACTGCCGAAGAGACTCTACCACCGAAGAAGCTACCGCCATCGAAAAGACTGATACCATCGAAAATACCATTACGAAGACGACCATTGAAAAAACTAACCTAGTGTGAAATTTGACCCGAAATTTATATGATAGTTTGCTTACATAATAGTTTGAACCCGATCTGTTTGACTCTATTCCATCATGTCACAAGACTTTCATTGTGTTAATCTAAAACAAACGTTTAGCCAATTTTGTTATTTAAAAGTTGACCTCTTAATTATTGTATATCACAGCATGTAATATTATTACCATTGCAACCTTTATATTATTTGAAGCATAAGTCGCATGCCGTAATATCTTGTGTAAATCAATCATAATAAATGCTGTGTCATAATATACTGTATGTTACATTTAATTTTTAGAAATTTAAAATTTACACATTTTCTTGAAAAATTCGGAAATATATCTACTATATTATAAAGTAGATGAAATCAGGGAAGAAAGATCTTATTATATAAATAATAGCAATAAATAATAATTCAGCCTATTAAAATCTTTCACAGTAAGGATAAACATTATTACTTTCATTACCTTCGATTTGCTTTTATATTTTGTATAAGAGTATAATATTATATTTGTAGAACTAGTGTTACAAATGAATCGATCAGACAAATTGTTTATATTTGGGTCATATTAAATATATACATTGTGTTAATTTTGTGAGGTATTGATACGTAGTTGTTATTCTGACAGGCAAGTTTATGAACAGTGATACTTAACAAAAACCTAAGGTCGTGTTTGATCGATATTCATTTTCCCGCATAGTATATAAAACTAGGGTTATTATTGACCAAAAAAAAACTATAATTTTATACAATCGTAATTCTATTTATAGGGATAACAAAAATTTTCTCCACCTTTGTCTAATCTACTGTAAACAATGATAATTATAGCATATAATAATAAATAGAAATAGTCTTTCTAAATTGGCATAGGCTATTATTCTTTCTACTTTCCTAACTATTGGTTCCACCACTCCTTTTAAATTATTTCTTGAATCTAAGCTGATTTAAAAATACAGCATAAGCAATTCACTCACGACGTATCAATAATTAAAACAATTTTTTTATGGGTCTCAAGTGATACCATCGTCTTGTTTTTTTAATGCAGTATTTACTATATGTTTTCATTTATTTAGATCTATAAGTAGTCGTGAAACCATTGATATTAACATTACTGGTTATATGAATAAAAATATTATTACTTGATAATTGTAATGTTGTACGAAATTTTTATTTGTTTCAAGAATGGAAATCATTATCAATTTTTTCCGGTCATATGTTCATTTTCTAAATTCAACAATATTACAGTACACGATGACTTTCTAGAAAATTGAGAAATTCAAAAATTTTAACAATAATGTATTTCTTAATTGGAATTACAAACATAGGTTATAACACTTGTTATCATTTTAAGAAAAATTATTGGAAATTTTATAATCTTAAATTTTATAATCTTAAATCTTAAAATTTTATAAAATAAAGATCAATTTGTTGTCCGCTACCGTTTCTAATCAAGTTTGACAGTCTTTTCCACGTGAAATCAATGGAAGAATAATCATTGATATCTGTTAAGCAATTTCATATCAAAGGTGTTTTTTAATTTATCTGGGATATATTGTATTTTTACTTTAACAATAATGCAGTTAATAAGCATATTTCGTTAATATTTGTAAAGTAAATCTGGATTTGATGTTTTAATTAATCTAAATTAAAATCTTGCTTTAACTAAGGATATAGATGATAGGTACGTTTTCATTAATATTTATTAAATAAATTTATATCGAAGATGTTTTAAGTATATTCGAATTAAATTTTTACTTTAGCTACAACTACAGACAATAGGCATATTTTTCATTAATATTTAGGTAAATTCATATCAAAAGTGTTTCAACTGATCTGTTATATTCTTACTTAACGTATAATGATAACTTCATTAATATCTGCTAAGGTGGTTTATTATTCTTTACTTTAACGATGATATCGGGCGGTAGACAAATTTTATTAATATTTGTTGAGTAATTTTACATATAAAGGTAATTTGATTAATCTGAGTTATATTTATTTAAATTATATTTTTAGTTTGTACGTTTTTAATAGTGATGGACTAGTTCAGTCCGGTCCGTTCCAGTCCTTAGTAAAACCGGTCTTATAGAATTTATTAATTAATTTG